CAAATTGTAATTGGGCAAGTTTCTAAGTTATATGAGCTTCAGCTGTAACAGAGGATCGAAATGGATTTCTCCTCAGAGGTCTGATGACTGAACTGGAACTGGCATGGGAAGCATCAGGAAAAGTTCCTGGAGCACCTGCTCCATGGAGTGGTACCTAATCATGTTGTCTCTTCTTCAAGAATGATCAAAAATTTATATGTAGAAGGAGCGACGGGCTGCGTCCCACCACCCAGCTAGCTTTACCCGAAATAATTACATGGAACTGCATTCTTTTAAACACTACTTGGCCCATTAGTTTTAGCCTCTTATTGGCTAACTCTCATATCTTGATTAACCCATTTCTAATAATCTGTGTAGCACCACGAGGTGGTGGCTTACAGGGAGGACTCTAACCTGCAGCTGTCTCGGGGAGGACAGTCATGGCAACTGCCTGACTTCCCTTCTTCCCAGCATTCTGTTCTGTTTACTCTGCCTACCTAATTTTCTGTCTGATCAAAGGGCCAAGGCAGTCTCTTTATTAACCAATTAAAATAACACATAGACAGAAGGCCCACCTCCATCATTTATACAAACATTAGACATAGTTTTTAATTATATAGGTATGCCAAGAACACAAAAGCCTGACCTTCAGCATATAATAATATGTCTGTTCTGATACATCATTTGAAGTAATTATCTTTGGAGGTCATTCCTTCCATGTAAGGCCATGACTTATTTAGTCATATTCTATTGGCAAAGCAAGAAATCTAATTTATTTTTTGAGTGTTTGTTTTCTACAAACACATCTTAAATCATTCTTCCTATTACAATTTTTCAGTTTTTACATTGCCTTCAATTTCATTATTTTTCTTCGACCTATAAACCGAAGCTTCCTACACAATGCTGTGGAGATCATACCTGTAAATTCCCAAGGTTCTCTTGACTAAACATTTGATAAAATAGTCCTCTGTAGTTGCAAAGCACAGTTTTTCTGCTGTTCCCTGCCTAAGATTATGATATTTATATTAAATTTATATTAAATTTATATTTAAAGCTTCTTGACCACAGTAACAATTAAAAGGAAAGTAAAATTTAACATGTTGATGAATAAGGATCTCCAAACATTACATATGAAATTATTTTTGACAAATCCATTGCTTTTTCCTATAAAGATACTCTGGATACGGATCATAGTCTATCATCTGTGTAATAAGTAACTGCAATAATTTTTAAGATCCAAAATAATAGCATGAACACATGCTGGGATCTGTTAAAAAGACTTCTGATGTCAATTTAATTTATTCTGTGGGTTTTAAAAGAGATTTCAATACGTTTATTACAATATTTGTGATTATGTATTCAATCCATACAACATACTTTCAAAACATCTCCTTTGTTTTGTAGCTAACCTTGCTGCTGTCGTGTATGCCACAGAGGAATATTGTTTTGTCTCTCCATATGAACTCTTTTCTCACAACCTTCACAGCTATTCACACCAAGGATGTAAAATACCTTGGAAATAAGCAGTTCAGGAGAAGGTTGCATATCTTTCATTCTGCAAGCCGGTCTCTTTGAAAAGTTTCATTTAAACGACTCTACTAATGTTTATGTGTGGGCGTCTTTTTCTACTTCACAGTGATTGAAAGAACCTTCTAAAAGGTATGAACATTCAAGTGCAACTGAGTTAAGGACACTGGTAAGTACAATTTAAATAGAATTTATTAAAAAGATTTTCATTTGAACATAACTATAGTTTCCATGTAGAACATTTTGTTATGAATGTATCTTCCTATGATATATTCTATCTCCATCTTCCCACTTCAAGGTGAATATGTGCCGTATTTTCATAGAGTTTTGCAGTAATATGTGTTTAAATGACCCTTGTTTCTTGTGTTTTTATGGAGTTTATGATTTGTGACACTCTGTATTTGAATTTAACCAAAATATGTTTTGAATATTTCAATGCTAAAGTAAAATAGTGGGATCCAACAACAGGGAACTGATTGGCTTAAGGCACCTTTACATGTACGTTAGCTTCAGGGACATTATAAATAGCAATTGCATCTCCCAGGCTATATGGACTTCTGTTGCAGGTTTGACAGATGAGTTTCTTAGAACCTCTGTGTTATATACATTAGAAACCCATATTAGCACTTGTGGTACATTCCCAAACTAAAGGAACAATTAAAAGGACAGGTGAAATTAATTAACAATAATGAATAAAAATGCTGCGATTTTCATAAATCTCTGTAACTTACTAATAAGACAATCTATATAGTTTAGCACAATAAAATATATTCTGACAAATTTCCCTGTTGCTTGGGCCATTTAGACTTTCATCAGTTGTTGATATAGTACTTTCAAACCTTGGTTAAGCAAAAAATCACCCTGTCCTAATGCAGGTGACATCTGTAAAGAGAATACTGTGAAATTTTGATGTGGTATTCCCTTCTGTATGCCGTGATTACCATTAATGAATAAAGAAACTGCTTTGGACCTATAGCAAGGCAGACTTAGCTCTGTGGGAAAAACTAAACTGAATGCTGAAAGGGAGAAGGCAGTGTCAGGAAGAAGACATGTAGCCCTGCTGGAGACAGATGTTGAAACATTTGTCAGTAAACCACAGCCATGTGGTGATGCACAGATTAATAAAAATGGGTGAAGTTAAGATGTAAGAGTTAGCAAATAAGAACCTAAAGCTAATGGGCCAAACAGTGGTTTTAAAAATATGGTTTCTGTGATTATTTGGGGGTCAAACAGCTGGAAACAAAACAAGCAGCCTCCCTACAACAAAATTTTTCTCAGGCTTGCTTTTGATGATGTTTTCCATTTCCACAACAATATCATACAAAGCTCATGACTAAACAACTGGCCTCTTTAGCTAAAATTAGTACAGTTAGTTTGTCTTCGCTAAAGTACAAATATAAACACAAATCATGGTTGAGCTTTTGGTGGGTGACAGATTAGCTCATTGGATGAACACAGTATTAATTAGACCTGCCAAAGATCCAAGTCACTCTCGACTAATAAATTTGTCATTTTGCTGTCAGTATACATCTTGCAAAATGATGTTTCCGTGACACTGTGGGATAAGTACGTGACAGTACTACATCACTACTGAGATATCTCATCTCCCATATGTACCAACAAAATCATGCATACACAGGCAGACACACATGCTCACATATAAAAAAACACACTAATACATATACATTCACACAAAATAGGCAAATAATATTCTTTATTTTTCTCTGACCCCACATCTGTTTGAAAAATTTTTGAACTTAAAATCATAAGAGCCTATGTCAGAACATCAGCAGCTATAGAACACAAGAAACAAGTTAAATCTATGAAGATTAAAGTTCAGTTATGTTTATTTTATTTTATTTTTGCTATACTTTCTTTAGTTGTTAAAACTATAAACTCTCATGATGTGTCAGTTGATCTTCCTAATACTGAAACAATTTAGTATTGTTTGTCATCTAGTAAATAAATCAACTATTGTTCTGTAGCTGGGTATAATTATAAAATCTATAACAACATAATTGTAATAAAGTATTGTATGAATTAATTTAGACACTGGATACTATCTCCTCATATGAGTCTAACTTTATATTAAAAACCAGATTTTGCTTCCTTAACATGAAAACTGCCTTTTCTATTCAGAAACTAACGTAAGTTGGAAAGTATGTACTTTTACTTTTACCAAAGTGAAAAATAAATGGCATTGAATGAATATTCTATCATTTAAAGATCAAAATATTTAAGTTATCAACTCTGAACTTTCAGCAAGCATGTGACCAGAATTTGAGGGTCAAATACCCTTGCTCTCACACTACCTAAAGGCTAGACTCTACCACCTGAACAAGAATACCAATTCTGTGTCATGCATTGGAAAGAGGAACAGAAAAAAGGGTCCAGTGATACCAAGCTGTTCAGTCCCAAAGAAACACAGAGTCTTATAATAATTGTAAACTGTTTAGCCTATTAGCTCAGGCTTATTGTTTACCAGCTCTTATAACTTAAATCAACCTATAATTATCTGTGTTTAGATGTATGTCTTGGTACATTTTCTCAGTGCAGCATTTTCGTACTGTTTCCTGTGCATCTGGGTGGTGACTGCACACTAAAGCTTTCCCCTTCCCAGAATTCTCCTATTCTGGCCACCCCACCTATACTTCCTGCCTGGTTACTGGCCAATAGCATTTTATTAAACCAATACGAGTGACAAAACTTTACAGGGTACAAGAGCATTATCCCACAGCAGTGATCTCTCTTTCACATAAGGATTCACTGTTTTCAGAATGCCAGGCAATTATGTTTTATTACAAAGATCTTTTATGCCTTCTTCTTTGAAGAGGAATGGGGTAATAGAGATTGTAATGCCTATAGAGTTAACTAAGAGTGTGGCTTGAAGTAAAGGAGACAGGTACAATGTGAATCCAGAGACATCTGGCTTTTGTCCCAATTTTTGTTATATTGTGGAACTAAGTAATGTAAATATTGTTGGATTTGTTGTTGTTTTGAAAAAACAGCTGATAGGTAACTCTCACAGTGTATTATACAGCACAGAGTATATTGCAAGAACTCACCAGGCTCTCTTCAGTCTTCCTTGGTAAACTACAAACAGTATCACCTTGGCTCATTAACTCTTTTAAAGTTCACTCATCCCAGGACAACTAGAGAGTGCAAATCTGAGTGTTGAAGGTTTTCAAAACAACCTTTCCACTTGCCATTAAGAACATTTCTTACTCTATCTTTCCAGGAAGCATTATTCTGTATCATCTATATTTCATATGGTTTTAAACTTCCTTTAGTTTTCTGAAATGCTTTCAAATGAGTTCTGTAACATTCTACTGCAAATGATATCCTCCTCTTCTCTGAAGTAGTATCACTTTCAATGTGTTTGCAATTAATGTCATTATCCTTGTTCTTCATATTTTTCTTTTGAGATATCAGTAGGTACATAAAACAATCTATTTGTTTATGGAAAAGTATTTACCAAAAGAGTAGATCAAATGTGAATATCAAGCAAGTCCAAACAGTTTATTTGAAAAAAATCACAATTCCATTTAAAGCATATGGAAACATGCATTAGACATATGAACCTAGTACAGATCAGTAGAAAGTTAATTATGTAGAACATGGTCATGCCATGGTTCAGAATGTTTTGCATTGAGCTACCACTAAATAATTATCTTGGGTAATTTTTCTCTATATCCATTATTGTTGCCTAACATCATCAAATAGATTATCTCTGCACATCTGATAGGGAAGCTGAGCTGCAAAGACTCCCTTATCTGGCCTCTGTCCCCTGTCTTTGCTGAAGGAAAAAGTTCTATTAAGACATTACCAAAGTCATTGAAAACAGACAGTGATTTTTGAAGCAGGCTTGATAGCATAGGGAAAGAGGAGCCTGCATCGAAATTACAGGCTGATAGAACTCCAGAGCTCCTTGCAGTAGAAAATCATATGACTGCTCAAATAGTGAAAAAGAAGGTCATGTAGACCAGCTGGGACTGTCTTTTCCTTCATTGTAATGACACCTTCTTGTCATTACCCTTGAGGATTTAAATATTCCTGTAATATATCAAACAACTTGATGCATCCTCCCCTCAAGAAAAACCTTCGTAAGAATAGAGGCTCCTTACCTCTTACCTACTGCAGATCATAAATAACCCCCTCTGACACTAAGCTTGTACATTAAACAAGGTCTTGCACTACAGGCTCTGGGAAACTTGGACCACACAACTCTAGTTTGTAAATGCCTCCACTTTATTATAAACACTTTCCTCTATTCCTGTACAACTCACCTCTTTACCTTTTAATCCTGCAACTCCCTGATGACAACAATTTTAAGTATTGCACCTTCCTTTTTTCTTTCTTACTTCATTTTTGTTCTTTTTAGTATACAAAGGTGTTTATTGATCTGTGCAGCAAAATCTGAAGGGAGTCAAGGACAGGTTTCAGAAGGACTGGGTATGTCAGCAGTGCAGACAGAAGAATCGGCTCTTCGCTACTATGACCATGGGGCTAGCAGACGAGTGAAGATACAAAGTGCTGGTCCTGGAGCTGATCTACCCTATCCAAGTGAACCGGAACCACTAGATAAGTAGGATTGTCCTATAGAGTTCTATTGTTACCAGCAACTCTGTGGAACTTCATTGGCCATGTTGTTTTGTATTCACATTCTGTGTAATGGTTTGACAATTTTTTTTCCTGAGGTCACAAAACATTAAAGATACCATAGTTGGACTAGTATGACAATTTGTATGTGTCCTCTTGCTGCAGGCAACATTTATACTGCCACACACATGAACAATATCAACAAAACGTATATGAAGAAAAGTACTTTTTTTCTTGTATCATCTTTCTAATCTGTTAACTACCCGCATTGCAGCATTGTATCAGAGGTTATTCCTATTACTTATGTGTGTTCAAACTTCTGGGAAAGGGTTAAATTCAGCAGGAACTGGAATGAGGCAACAGTTAATGACAAGTTCCAGCAACAGCAGGAAACAAAGTGAGGGATAAGGCGGCTTCACACCCATGTTTCCTGTGAGAACACAAGAGAAGTTATTACGACCCCATCTTGTTTCAGTTTTTCCTATCCCCTCCTGAAGGCTTCTGCTGTCACTATGGGCTCACAGTTCCATTTCTCCTGGACACTGCCTCATCCCTGCCCCTTAGGTCCCAATCCTAGATTTCAGTGTCTCACCCAGCCTGTATTGTGGCACACGTGAGAACGCAATGCTGATTGGGCCCATATATAGACAGAAGGCCCTGTGGGTAGAGCTGGATCTGAATTCTTTTGATTTTTTGATTTTTCTTTTTGTCAGATTTTCACTGAAAAACTCAGAAAGGCCTCAAACTTGCCATCTTCCTCTGGAGTGCAGACGGGTATGCACCACCACATCCAGAATTTTTGGGTGTGATTGGTTGGTTTTCATCATAAATGTTCACAAACAATTTTAAAATACCTTCAAATAGTAGGAGCATTGCACATTTTCTTTTCCACTAGTGATTTTCCTCCAGGATAATGACCACATTTAATGAAAACTATGATTCAGCATTTTTCTCCTAAGGAAAAAAGAAAGAAAAAAAGAAAGAAAGAAAGAAAGAAAGAAAGAAAGAAAGAAAGAAAGAAAGAAAGAAAG